CGTAGATTTCCTGTTTCCATGTCATTTTGTGCAATTTCGGTGTGCGAGATTTTATTAGCATTAGAGGTTAAGATAAACTTTCTTAGCAAAGTGTAATTAATCGATAAATCTTCATACTTAATGATACAAATCTTCATATTTCATAGATTTCCTATTTCCATGTGCATTCTATACAATTTCGACGTGCAAGATTCGACTAGACGTTAGACGTTAAAGTAAACTTTCTCAACGAAGTGTAATTAATCGAAGTATCTTTTATCTTCGCCACGATAAACGTCTGTCCGAGCGACGATATTTCCACAGACTACTCGTCCACCGATCTAAAACGTGAATATTTCTCTCGTAATCGAATACTTGACATTTCGCCCGCGTAATCGGCGGGCCGATTAACGATTTCTCGCGTAACTCAACTCCTCGGTGAATTTCGCGCTCGCCGCGTTTCCCCGACGCGAGTGCCGTCCCTAACGCGAGCGACGCGTCTAACGAGCGTGTTTCCATTTGGTCATCCGTTGATTTGATATTCCGTAATCGGACGGCGGCGGAGAATTCCGGTTCCGAGGGTACCGGTTTCATACTTTCTCGTCACTTTCTTTTATCGTACGCCCGAGCGAAGCACGATGGAACTTCCGAGGGAGCCGCGAGCTGTTTATTACCGTCCCGACGACTTAATTCAGTGGTATTACCGGCTCCGACAATGAGTTTCCGTGGTTCTTGTCTAGTTTCGACGATCGGAAGGGGAAACGTCGCGCTGTCTTTCATCCCTCTCGAATGTCGACACTTCGAGATGAAACGCATTAACCCTTAATAACTGTAATTACGACTGGAGATGATATTTATAAATACAACTACAGTTGTAGCTGTGATATAATTGTAATTAGAGTTATGATAGTCATAGTTCCAGTTACACTCTCAATTACGAAGCAATATTAACCCTTAGCACTCGAAAGTTTTCCACTAGAAATATTCAATATTCTTCGATGAGATACAGACGATGTTCTTTATATTTTATAAATAATATTTTTAAAGTTTGATGATTTATAAGATTTGGTATTTAATAAAAAATCTGACATCCTTGTTTAAATAAATGTAACTATAACTACTACTAGAGACAATATTTATAAAGTTTGCTGATTTATAAGATTTGGTATTTAATAAAAAATCTGACATCCTTGTATAAATAAACATAACTGTAACTACGACTGGAGATAATATTTATAAATATAACTACAGTTGTAGCTGTGATATAATTGTAATTAGAGTTATGATAGCCATAGTTCCAGTTACACTCTCAATTACGAAGCAATATTAACCCTTTGCACTCGAAAGATTTCCACTAGAAATATTCAATATTCTTCGATGGGATACAGACGATGCTCTTTGAAACTAATTAACAAGGAAACATATATAAATTAACACTAGGTTTACCGAACGCGTCAATTTGACGCAGATCGAATTTTATAAACATTATTTGGTAAATGTTTTAATCGGTTTTCCTGATTGTCTATTTCTACATCTACAATTTCCAAAATCTAAATGAACGAATATCAACTACCCCGGGAACAATAGAATAAATTGTACAATATATGCCCGTAAGCCTAGCGTTAAGAGTGTACTGTTCAGAAATGAAAATATGTTTAAAAAAAAGGAAACACTTCTCCCGATGTAGGCGCGAGTACCCTTTTAAGGTAAATATTTCCTGGAATCGAGGTGTATTTTAAAATATTCGCGGGCCTTGAAGCATGCTCAGGGTTAGGAAGTGATGGTGCACATGTTCCGAGGCATGAAGCCTTTTTCGTTACTCCATTCCGAAACTCTGTGCAATGTCGTCAGAGATGGCCACGATTAGAGGCCGGTCACGAACGTGTATTGAGACAAGGTGCCATTTGTTACTCGAATTATCGGCGACACGTTTGGCCTTATTCTTATAGGTCGAATTTCATCGAGATACCGAGAACCGATTCATAATCTCACCTTATCGCGGTGCACTCGACGATAAACAATAAGCAGCAATTCAAATTCAAACGGAACGTACATCTGTACACTTAATGAGAAGTTGTATCGATACTTTATCAACGTAGAATCTCGATTATCTAATTTATTCGATCTATTAATAGTCAAGTGCCTGAAATTTAGAGTAACGTTGATTATTAGCATTGAGATTGTGCCAGAAAGATTAACAGTTAAATGTTTAAACCTCTAATTGCCAAAATCTGAACAATTTTTCTAGTAGAATGGACTGCAGTGAGTAAACCTAGAGTCAGGTGCCTGAAATTTAGAGTAACGTTGATTACTAGGATTAAGATCGTGCTAGGAATAGATATAACCAGTGATCGTTACAATTATAGTCACTCATACATTATAAGTATTAATCACTGATTATAATATTCATACAACCAAGTTCTAGATACTGCTTTCTACCCTAAAATCATTACATTTTCCACACCAAATTTTGCACTGAGAAGGAAAATAAAAGATCGAAGAAATGTTATGGTATTTCTCATTTTCACTGGAGATACCGTAGAAATTAGTTGCAGTTGCTAAATTACAAAACCATCTGGAGTTAAGGGTTAATCTTAAACTACCCTAAAATCATTACATTTTCCACACCAAATTTTGCATTGAGAAGAACAAAAGATCGAAGAAACGTTGCATTTCTCATTTTCAAAAACGATAAAAATTAGTCGCCGATAGATCACGAAACAACCTGTAATGCTAAGGATTAATCCGATAATCCAAATGTTCGAGTACTCGAACGATCAATACCCGAACAATCTAAATAAAGCAACATCGACCGGAATCAAGGTCCCGCATTAAAAATCTTCAGCGGACCCGATCGAACCGTGACCCGCAGCACGATCGGCCCGACGGCGTCGCGTTCGTTAAAAATTCCGTGAAATCTGCAGTCGCAATTATAATCGTGTCCGTCGAGAAAGTTCGTGCTCCGGGCGCACTCTAAATCGACATCGATCGGGGCCCGGCCAGGGGAGGAAAGAAAAGCGGTTTATTTTGCCGCAGCGGACGGGTTAAAAATACCCTCCGTCTCACGGAACTTCCGGCGGCACTGAAAATAGCGTGTCGAACGCTTCCGCGTCCGCAGGTGCTTTATGTTCCGGCCGGAGGTCTGGTACCTAGGCGAACGACGGCGGACTATTTTTAGGCCGCTTTCCCATCGTCCGTGAAAAACGCGTCCCCGGCTTTTATTAACCCCGCCGAAGGTTAGGGGCTGCTCCTTTTCCCCGGAAGCGCACCTCCGACGCGAAATTGCGAATTTCTCGTGGCCTGAGCGACCTTTCAACCGGCGCACGATGATTTTGATGAGACTCGTGTGGTATCGTAGTTTTAACCCTTTGAACTCTGTAGGCTCGAATATTGCAACAGTTAGAATATTAACCCTTTGCACTCGAGAATATTTTTCTCAATAAATATTCATTATTTTGTGAAATGTCAATAGTTTTTGCAATTGACGTGAAGAAATACTTTGCATAAATTGACAGAACTATTTTATTTCGATGTTCCATGTGTTCGTACATTATGTAAAATTTAATATTGAATTTTCAATTTTACAATGTTCTTGTGATCTTGATACCATAGAAATTAGTTGCAGTTGCTGATAGATTACAAAACCTGGAGTACTAAGGGTTAACCTTTGAACTCTGTAGGTTAGAATATTAACCCTTCGCACTCGAGAACATTTTTCTGAATAAATATTCATTATTTTCTTGTGAAATGTCAATATTTTTTGCAATTGACGTGAAGAAATACTTTGCATAAATTGACAGAACTATTTCATTTCGATGTTCCATGTGTTCGTACATTATGTAAAATTTAATATTGAATTTTCAATTTTACAATGTTCTTGTGATCTTGATACCATAGAAATCAGTTGCAGTTGCTGATAGATTACAAAACCTGGAGTGCTAAGGGTTAACGTTGAATTACGGAAACGAATAATCTCGATAAATATCAGTGGCGCGAGAGAGATTTCTCGCGATGATTAAATAAGCTTGAGTATCTACAGTAGTCAAAGGTTGAAGATCGTTTAACAAGTGCACTCAAGAAGCAGACAGTATATCCTTGAAAGTGCTTGTACACAATCTCGTCTCGAGATTTCAGCAATACTAATTACACCCGAGCGTGGATCGGCTTTGGTTTAGACGAAATCAGATCACAAGGGACACTTTAATCTCTGTAATTAACCGTGCCCGTCAAATGATACCGGTTAACTCCGCCTATCGCTCGATACGTTCGGTAGCGCGCGGTTGTGTATCAACAGCTACTTCTGGTAATTACTTTCCAGCTCGGCTTTACAAATCTTTCGAGTAATCCCTTAGATTAAATATAGAATGATTAACAAACAAAATTCGTGTACGTATCAGCCTAAAATAGATAAAAACCAAATTCATCGCGCGAGACATTGCCAAATCTCAATTCATTTCCGGCGCAAGTGGTTAATTTAAGTATATAATTTCATCCGATCTTTATCAGATCTCCTTCGTCTATTTTTCGTTATTTATTGTTCGCAGAGTGAATCACATCGACAAGTAAACGGCTCGACAGTGTACAATAAATGGCTCGACGAGACGTTTCTATTGCAAAATTTTCAATTATATCTTTGACACATTGACAATCTTGTCGCATTACGCCTATTATATTGTTTCGAAACATATCACTCTATACAGAATGATTAACAAACAAAATTAGTCTACATATCAGTGTAAAATAGGTAAAAACGAAATTCATCCAATGTAGGATTAATTTATTAAAAATCCCATATATTGTAGGATTAATCTATTAAAAATCCCACGTGTTGCCGTGGTGGGGAATAAAAAGAAAAGATACACTCACTGGGTAACAATACCAAAAATGTGCAGAACAAAACCCTACAATAATTTCATGCGATCTTTATCTCCTCCTTCTGTCTTTCGTTATGCGGAGTGAATCACTTCGACAAATAAACGGCTGGACAGTGTATTTACAAAGGTCCATTGTTCTGTTTCCAGTATCACGGACACGCGTGTGGATGAGGGTAGACCATCTCAACGAGAGGGATGTCTGAAAGCGAGGGAGAGCACGTAGCTCGGTCGGTGGCCTTGGAGCAAGCCTACGTCCACGAAGTTTACGAACAATGCGCCGAGAAGACTGTCCAAAGTAGACACTGGCCACGGATCTGTCAATTCCTCGAGGAACTGGAACCCGGAGCCCTCGTCTGCGATATCGGTGAGTCGGAATCGTGCAGCCTGTTCTACCTGTTGAAGCGAATGTTACAGGACTCACGAAGCAAGCATTTCAGAATAAAGATCTAGGAGAGTGACGTCTACACACTGTATAAAACTGAATAGAGAAAGGAATTGTTACTATGAGTTGTTACACTTTGCATAGTATTTCATCTGTTTCCTAAGGAATAGCATAAGCTAATCTTGAAGTAAACTCAATCCTATAGAAAGCAGTATCTAGAACTTGGTTATATGAATATTATAATCAATGATTAATAATTATAATGTATCAGTGACTATAATTGTAATGGTCAGTAGTTGTATCTATTTCTAGCAGAATCTCAATCCTGATAATCAACATTACTCTAAATTTTAGGCACCTGACTCTAGGTTCATTCATTGCAGTCTCTACTAGAAAAATTGTTCAGACCTTGGCAATCAGAAGTTCCAACATTTACCAATTAACCTATAAAATTCCAGTTACAAGTATCATAAAGCATAAGGTTAATCAAAGATCGTTAATTTTTGCGTCTCAACACGTATGCTCGCAGCTAGTCCATATATGGGCACGTGTCTTTCTTCGTTCGGTCGCTCGGTTTTTCCTCGAGTTGCATCCAGATGTAGTCCCCGGTCACTCGCGCTTTCACATGATCAATTTGACCTCCGCGCGGATGTATCGGCGCGGATGTTTTATCCGTGCAGACCTCGGCGTTCACCGGGCGCCTGATCCCACGTCGCGACGCGACGCCATGATCCGGCGCGCTGAAATACCGTGGGATCCGTTCACCGTCTCTCGGGATTACACAAACTCATCGACCGGCGAACTTCGAGGCGCCTGCCCCTCGACCGATTTTTCGTCGTTCCGAACACACGCCGCGTTCCGTCGATCGAACTCGATAACGAATTGTTATCTCCGGTAACTCGGCCGATCGATGAGCTTCTCGTTTTCAGTTTGAGGCGTTTCTTTCGTAGTTTTTGTTCCTAATATTCTATGGTTTTGTGTGTCCAACATTTTTCCGATTTGTGTTCCTTTGATTGTTTCGCGGTTTCATATCGTCGAGATATTTTGTAATTCGATATATTCTAATAATTTCGGAACTTGTTTTGCGATCTCGTTGCGTCTCCATTTTCGTGAATGTTTCGTTTGTCGATGTTTGTTTCGAAATCGTTTCCAGTTTGTAAACGTGCGCTCTCGTAATCGGTTTCCGTAATGTCGCTGCGCGGACTTTTCCTGGCAAAAGAGACGAAACTTGGCGACCGAGCTGTTATATAACAATAATCTCCATCATTATCTGCAATCCTTTCCCACTTATTCACCGTAGAAAAACCATCGCTTAATAATCGTGCGTGAACCTTTCCCAGGATCGTAAAGTGGTTCCCTTTATTTTTCCATCGAACGGATAGTTTTCACAATCCATTCACAGAGGCTGTTATATATTTTCGCTGTCGGCCGATTTATCGGACGAAACCGAAGCGGCAATGTTAAGGTTTACGGCCATTAGTCGTTCATCAGCCCCCGTTGCATCTCGAGATCCTAACGGAATTTATTTTACTAATTGGATCGCATTAATAATCGGCCTTCGAGTCGATGCGAAGTATCGTTCCGTCGAAGTGCTCTCGTTCTATGGATCAGTGGTTCTCAACGTGGATTCGCGCGTGAAAATTCGGCGTACGTTACGACGCAGGATACAGTATACATTCATTCGTTTATTAATTTATTTCATTTACATTATTACACTACAGTTCTAATCTACATAACAATTCACAGTTACATCTATATTTTTATAAACTATATGAAGCATGAAACGTTGAGAGCCGCTATTCAGATAACTAACTTAACTGTTTCAATTAGCAAGCACTTGATCCTAAATTCAGAAGGATTATAGCTACTCCTGGCGAACCACATTAACCACCAAAGGACACTCCATTGATATCCATTTCCTATCCGTCTACGGGCGCATCTAGCCATTAACTTCGGCTACACTAGAATAGTTCCCAGTGCTTTGTGTCTACTCCCAATACAGCAGTCGCTAATTGTCCCTTTGCTCCTATAAATAGGTCCTGCCTTACTCCAGTTTACCATAATTTAACAACGCAAACGTTGGAATCCCCTGTATAATTAGCTCTTGACGCCCATCTCGACACAATAATTCGAAAACTATCTACTGAGAACACAGTACTTACTATAATCAGTTGATCATACAACAGAGATAACAATACAAAGTAATAAAGACTCAACATTCAAAGCAAACGTTGGAATCCCCAGTAATTAGCTCTTGACGCCCATCTTGACAAAATTCGAAAAATATCTACTAAGAACACACTAGTACAATCAATTGATCATACAGAGGTAACGATACAAAGTAATGCACAAAGCCCCAACATTCAATATGCAAACGTCTACACTGGCGCTGCACGAGCAACACAAAAGAATCACAAAGCATTCGCTGAAAACCCATGGAAACTCATTAGAAGCTGCTCATTACGAACAATTGCATCAGGGCGTCGACGTGTCGTCAGTTTTTACGAAAGTTCACGGGTTAGATAGGATCTCCGTTCATCGTGTAAGCCGTTCGATATTCCGGCAGGAACGATCGTTAATGGAAACTTGATTCCCCGGATCGCGGATTATCCCGTGAACAACCGACAGACATCTCCCCCCCTTCGCCCCGCGGTTTTGAAAGGGTGATCCGCGATTAACTCCGCGATCACGGTGCTCATTACCTCACGGCTCGCTTTATTTGTCCAGGCTGTGGCAACGGGAAGTACCTGAGCGTTAATCACAGCATCTTTAAGGTGGGAGTGGACCGGTGCAAGCGTTTCACGGATATCGCGCGTGAGAAGGAGAATGAGGTGAATATATCATTCCGATATGAAAATAACGGCGGCGTGGATATCGAACCGCGCGGCGCAGGAAACCGACGCTTAACATCCGTATCCTGGCTCTATCCTCGAGAGCTGAGCGTAATTGCGCGTTTAATTGTATCCGGAGCGTTTCCCCAGTGGGAAACCTTGCGTTTTCCTCTGTCCCCGAGTGTCGAGCGTCGCCTTTTCCCCGAGCGGAAAGGGTAAGAGGAAAGAGGCACGAGGAAAACCGGTGCGCTCGGGTATCGGTATCGGTCGAGAGTCGGCTGGATCAATTAGAATTAATCGTTGGCCGTGAATCTAATATCAATATTTGATTCCTAGTTCAATGGTACTGTTTAGAATTCCAGTGGGAAATTGTTGTTTAACGCGATCGTTGTTGATAGGAGTTTAATAGTTTTGATTACGGTATCGTTGATTGGATCATCTGTTAGTATGCTTGATATTGGGTTATTATTGTATGTGAAATTGTTAGCGGATTCTTGTGTTATTAATGTTATCGGAGGACTGCGATGAAATGGTTTCGTTTTGGGTATTGCAGGTGTTGGTCTGCGACAATTTGGCTTTGCCGTTTCGAGACGAGAGTTTCGATGCGGTGCTCTCGATCGCGGTGGTGCACCACTTCGCCACCACGGAGAGGCGGGTGCACGCGCTGAAAGAACTGGCGCGGGTGCTGCGAATCGGCGGCCGATTAGTCATCTCCGTATGGGCTATGGAACAAAGACACAGAAAGGTAATCGTCGCACGTTCTAGTATCGTACGATCTAATAACCGGTGGATCTTGTGCGAGTGTCTTGTGAGAACTGAAAGTTTGCTGATTTATGAGATTTGGTATCTAATAAAAAATCTGATATGCTTGTATAAATAAATGTAACTGTGACTACGACTACGAGTTATAATAGTCATAGTTCCAGTTATACTCACAATTACAAAGCAATATTAATCCTTAGCACTCCAGGTTGTTTTGTAATCTATCAGCAACTGCTAATTTCTATGGTATCTCCAGTGAAAATGAAAAATGTAATATTCCTTCGATTTTTTATTTTCCTTCTCAGTACAAAATTCGGATGCGTGGAAAATCTAATGATATTCTATAGAAACTATAGAAAATTTGGCGTAACGAATTTATCATTTTTACTTGCTCTGACAGTTGCATCGATTCCACGCAGTATCTACGATAATTGCCATTACTATTATTATTCGGATTTCCTCACTTCGTAAATATAGGTAATTATCTTCTGTCTCAATTGCAAATTTCAATCAGTACCCCGACGGTTCGATATTAGCGTGTAATGGTCACGAAGCATGATTTAATGCAAACTGCGGTGATTTCAAAGGGTTAACAGGTCCGCGGACAGTAAAAATTTAAATAAACCACAAAAATGGAAAAAATGCAAATACTCCAAGGGTTAAAGCATAATATTCTCAAAAAGTTAAGGCTGTATAGAATCAAATTCACAAGTTCCTTATAAATCTCAACATTACACCATTCATGTCATTTTGCGTCACAATGAAAATCGATACTGTACCATTCACGTCGGCGACCTGTTAAAAACGACCCACAAGAATATACTTCCCGAAAAATCCAATTTCAACGACGACATTCGCGCGACCTTCAAATCGTACCTTCAAATCGTATTTCCCAATTTACAAGCAAAGAATCGACTCGACGATAAGACCTATACAGAGGAAAATCGACGGACCGCCGAAGACGATCCCGTCGATCGGTTGTCAGCGGTATTCACGGATTGATAGCTTTGCTATTCGGATCGGCTTGAAAAATGTCGTCATCCGATACGATTGAATGGGAACGGTATTCGAACGGAGCCTATGAAGCACGCCCACGCGAGCGTGACGGTCAATCGATACAATTGTTCCGATGCATACAGCCAAGGTAAACCGTTCGAACGTGTATCGGCGCGCGTTTCTATTTTTCAGGGTTCGCGTGTGCATGCACGTGTGTGTATTATCTCTACACGTGTGTATATGTATATGTATATATATTTACATACCGCGCCGAGATGAATTCTTTCGATTGACACGCCGGCGACACACGGCTTTCACAGATATCGTCCTTCGAGCGTGCAACGTTCCCACCGTTTTCCTCTTCGATCCCGTATGCAAAACATCGTTCGCAGAATTTCATTGCTCATCGCGGAGACCGTGGCACTGTAGCTCTTTTTCCCCGCCTCGTTTCTTTTCGCGTTTTTTCTCTCTCTCTGTCAGACGAGTCTTCGGTTGGCTGTGTCCTTTTAAATGTCAACCGAAGGAACTCGAGTCGCGACGACGTTAGTCTCGCGAAATTCTGCTTCACCCCTTCAGACTCGAAACATACGTGTAGCTTCGCGTGTTGCAGGATTTGTACTTTAACCCTTTGCACTCCAGAAATGACTCTCACCACTTGATTCGATACAGAATTGTAAAGTTTGATATTTAACATTAATCTTTCTATAATGCATCGATATGTGGAACATTGAAATGAAGCAGCTTTGTTTTTTCATTAATGTGTAATTTCTCTTTAAGTAAGTTTCCGATATATCGTTCCTGGTCTCATTGGAAAATGTGGAATATTTCCAGCGAAAAACTCTCGAGTGCAATGGGTTAACTGGTTGACTTGCGCAACAATTCAAATGTTTCGCTTTGTCGTTTGCAGTTCCAGTCTCAGGATGTCTTGGTACCATGGCCCAAAGCCTACTGCGCCAGCTCGACGGACAGATCGAAATATTCGGGCACGCTGAACGTCAGCGACGTGCACACCGCTCAAAACGCTCAAAAGTATACAGTTTATAATCTCCTTTATATCTATTACATTTTAGTATTTGTTACAATTAGTACTATAATCTTAGGACACTGTGTATACGGATAGGATTCAATTTGATTCAATGGCACTCGAGTTACCAAAAAATGGAGCTCGTCAGGAGACTCTATCCAACCGTCACCGCCCGCTAATGAAACATGATTTAATTTTCTGATTGGTCCTCGAATCATTGGAAGCTTGAAATGGAACCACTCGGTAGTTCTAGCGTTGACACTTCGGCGATCGGCAATTCTGTTATAGTCTCTATTAACTGCGGACCATTTTAATTAAATTAAATTAAATCAACCGTTAAATCATTTGTCTGCGACAAAGGGTTAACTCTGATATGAAAATTCTCATATTACTGTTTAGTTATTTACGTTACAAAAATTTGTTCAAATCAATTATTTTCTTGTAACGTCTAACAATTTTGAAGCTTCATAATACTCTAGAAACGTTAAAGAAAACATAAGAATTATATTAAAATTAAACCAGCGACTATACGCTTGAAAAGTTACGTGAATATACGTCAACGGTTGCCAACGCAAAAATTCCCGGCTCGGTCTTTCCAAAGATAAACGCTCCTTGAAACCAGTCTCTAATCGCCCAGCGAAATTGCGTTTTGCTCGGCGTCCTTGTTTCTTCGCGAACGCTTTTCCGGGAGGGGTTGGCGGGTGGTTTGAACAAGGCAATTAGAGCTAATGATGTTTCGCTTGGTTCCCAGGAACAGCCAACGAAAATGCAAAAGCAAAGGCTATTGGATCGACCCGATATTCAGCCCGTCGCCTTCGACAAGCAGCTTGTCCAGCCCGAACGAGACCTGCTACAGCTTCTTCCGTCGCGCTTTGCAGGTACACCAGTGGATTTCGTTAGATCCCATTAAAATGTTCACCTATCCTCATTCTTCCACCGGAACTTCGAGCTGAATGAAACCTTAATACAGCGGACGAGGATGGAGGCTAAGCGAGACTCGATTCTTACAAGAAAACGCTGCCTTAGTTTCTATGCAAGCGTTCAGAAAGTCAAGTTGTCTATTTGCTAGTTCTAGTAAATGCTGAAATTGAAGTTACACGTGATATGATGGTAATATTTCTAAGAACTGTAACAAAAATTGATCAAACACGTTGGTAGAAAACTGAATGTCCAATCTGCTTCTGAAATTACAAGTGACATGATGATAATGCTTCTAAGAACTGTAACAAAAATTGATCAATTGTAATGGTAGAAAACTGAAAACCAATCTACTTCTGAAATTACAAGTGACATGATGATAATGCTTCTAAGAACTGTAACAAAAATTGATCAATTGCATTGGTAGAAAACTGAAAACCAATCTACTAAAATTACACATAACATGATGATAATATTTCTAAGAACTGTAACAAAAATTGATCAATTGTATTGGCAGAAAACTGAATGTCCAATCTGCTTCTTAGAACAACAAAAGGTCGAAGCAAAATTGTAACGCAGCTTGTTCCTCCGAGCGTCACGTGTCCAAATGTGCGCAGGATCGCGTGCAATGTTTAAATCCCTCCTTCCCTCCCCTCTGTTCCTCATACCGTATCCTCCCATCTTCTCGCTCCTCTGCTCCTTGACACGTCGCGTACGTGTCCCGCGACGCGATAATCATCTCCGCAATACGTAACCGAATTGTCGGCGAGCGTGTTATCGATTCCGCGCGCCGCCTTAACAATGTTCGCGCCGAAAAGTAGGGTAACTGCTTGCGGAATGCGTCCACCCGCTCGTCCGATGGTAGAGATTACGTGCTCGGACGATCGTCGAGACCCTTGGGAGTCCCGGTAGAACTCGAAACCGTTGAATGGACGCGGACGCCTGTAATCGCCGCGAATTCCGCCTCGAGTCGCGCCGAGTTTATCGCAGTTCGGTGATTCTTGACCTCTCGAGCCGGTTGTTGCTTGTGAGAACTGGTTTTGTGGGAATTGTTGCGCATAATGGGACTAGTATTGCGGGGATTGTTGAGTAGAATGGAACTAGTATTGCGGGGACTATTGTATATCAACGCGTTCGCTGCCACCGCTCATTTCACTGACGGTCTCAATCATTTCTGCGATCCAATACATCTAAACAGAATATTAGGAAAAGGAGACAGAAGTCATTGAGTTCCTAAATATGTAGTTTATCATTTCTAGTAACAATATCTGTAGGACTCATTTCATTTTCATTATGTAAAGTATATACTACCGTTACAAACATGTGGTAGCAAATGTGTTAAAAAGTTATGCAGCTATCACAGTTGTCTATGATACACCATCATACAATGTAGACCACAACTACTTTGTATTTCAGTGTACAATTGTATGAGTATGACCTATAGAATACAACTGAATAATGATAACAGTTCTGATTTAATGCTGCATCAATTATTCGCAGAAACTGGCTGGCGGTAGGCGAGGATCCGGAAATCGGCCGTGGTTCCTGGAAAGTTGGCAGAACAGTGGCGGCAAGAGCAGGAAGGACTACGAGCACGAGGAACAGCCGGACGTGGACGAGCTGCCCATCGAGCTGCGCCGCGTGGAGGATGTAAACGTAAACGTGACCAAACAGCCGGACTCGTTGAGTATAAAATCAAAGAGCCTCGGTGACATCTTGGAGATTCAACGATTGGACCTTGTCAGGTCCAGGTCCAGCATACCTGGCCTGTGCTCCGTCTTGACGTCGGAATTGAATCTGGACGGCGAGTCGCGGACCTCGTCATCCATGAGCGGCTCGAAGCCACGGCTGGTCAAGCAGAAGTCTCACCTCGATGACGTCGGTTTGGAAGATCCTGATAACACTGCCATTCGAGAACTAGATAAGGACATTCCAGACTCTCAGGTAGGGGAGATGCAGAGATGAGACTCGTGGAATGTTCAAATTAGATAGAGCGCTTTATTTTGTAAAATATGTACCTCAAAATATGTTTGTTAATGTGGATACAGTGTTGCGAATTTACCGGACTAGACAAAAGTATATTCGAGACAAGTATATTAGTACAAATAAACTTTTGAATCCAGGTAACACCCAGTCACCACTCGAAGCGCGGAAGCATCCTGAAGCAGAGCTCGATGAACGAGGAGCTGATGTCCACGGACCGGTTGGAGGAGAAGGAACGGGTGCGCCGGAACATAATGAAGCAGGCCTCGCTGAACGAGGACCTGATGTACAAGGCAACCACGTTCGAGGCTCTGCGCGAGTCGCTCTACTCAGGGAACGCGACCAGGCGGTTCCAGCTCCTGAAAAGTGGCCTTACGAACAAGATCAAGCAGTCGACGAACATCGAGGTCTCCGGTATATCGATCAAGAACGGCTTCGTGAAGATCCTGCAAGGCTGGAAGTCAAGCGACGCCGAGACGACGCCGGCCGGCGGCGTCCAGGACGACTCCAGGACGAAGGGGAACGAGAAGGTCCAGCCCGCCGCCGCGAAGAGGGAAGTCGAGGGGATCGAGAGACGCCTGTCCAGGGAAGACGGCTCGGACTCGTCTAAAGACAGCAGCCTGCAGAGCGACACGAGCGTCGACTCCGAGGACAGCTTCGCGTCCGTGATCTTCGTGCCAAAGCAGGACGCTGTGCCGCCCGTGGCCGACATTCTGCCGGTCACCCTGACCCACCAGCTGGGCAGCACCTCAGCGCCCCCGTCGCCCCGGGTCAAGCATCCGCCGGACGTTTCTAGCTCTAGACTCAAGCTCATCTCCATGTCCCCCTTGCTCAAACAGTTCCCAGCGACCAGCAAGTCCCTGCCCCCGCCCAGTCCGCCCGGCCTGTCCCCCAGGACCCTGAACCCGGCGTTCGCGAGGCCGTTCTTCGGCCCCACCTATGCTCAGCCACCCCTGAACGAGAAGGTCGACAGCTTGAAGAGGTTCGACCTCAACGGTCATCAGCCACCTGCCACCGAGAGTGTAACAACTCAGGAGGTCCGCAGGAGCAGCGTCTTCGACGGCAAGAAGCCTTCCCTGCAGACTATCCGCGCGTACAGGTCCATGTCCGAGACCGTGGACCTGGACGAGCCGAAGATCATAGAGGACACCGCTCCGCTGCTGTCCAACGTCGAGGAGACGAACGAGACGAGTCAGGAGAAGAGTCAAGAGGTCAGCAAGGAAGAGGAGAGTCGCAAGGCTAGGCTGAACCAGATCAAGGAGCTGCTGAAGCAGAAACCAGGGTTCGCGACTAGGACCAAGCCCTCTTTCCCTCTAGTCAGGCGAGCCTCGACCACCGCCAGCGGTCGTCTGGAGTCCGTCACCAAGGTTCTACCCAGGTTGCTCTCCTTGGAGCTGTTCAATCCGGAGACGGACGACCTGGACAGCGACTCCAGCGGAGTCTCTTCGCCGGAGTCCGTCGGCTCGGTGATCAGCGTGATCTCGGACGAGAGGTACGCCAAGAAGGACAACAACAAGTCCGAGTGCACGGAGTCCGAGGTGCTGGACAGCTCGGCGGAGAACGTGTCCGACCCCAGCGACGCCACCAACGAAGAGTCATCGGGGTATGTTGCTGACTCGAAGGAGGACGAGGCTAGAACCGCGACGGACTCCTCGTCGCAGTGCTCCAGGCTCATCAAGGCTGCAGCCAGCGTGGCCAGCTCCTTGGAGGACGCGGTGGAGACCGCGATACAGAAAACGCACAGTCGAAGCTCCCAAGCACAAGAAGCACCCAACGTTGAGAGCAAGCGGACCGAGGCCAAGAGCGACAGCTACCAGCTGCCGGAAGTCGAGGACACCTGGAGCGAGGAGTGCCGCAAGCACCTGATAGACTTCACCGAGAGACTCAACGGGAACCTGATGCGCTCTGACGGTCGCCAGGCGTCCGACGTCAAAGGGGATGTTAGTCATGTTGTGGACAGGAAGCTGGAGAAGCTCGACGGGAAGTTAATAACATCACAGGTGAAGAAGTCCAAGTACAACGACCTGTCGAACACCATCGCCTGGCTGAGTAACTCGAAGAACGGCTTCCCCGAGAACGCCAACGGCTCCAATGCTGACGACCTGCAGCGCAGCACCGACGACATCATGGACTTCGTGATGGTGTCGAACGCCGGGGAGTTCGTCGACCCCGAGAAGAACCCCGCGAAGCCTTACGTCAGGTCGGCGAACTCCATCGAGTCCAGCGACATAGGCGAGTCCATCGACAATACCATTAGCCTGAGCGACGGCAGCCACGCGGACTCGACCGGCAGGCTGTGCAGCAGCATGATGTCCCTGCTGTCGAACAACGCGGAGTACCCGAAGTCCTACGCGGAGAAGCGCAGGCTGCAGATACAGAGGCGCTCGGCGTCCGAGGAGACGCCGCCCAGGTACCCGGACAACGGCAAGCGCAGCACGGACTGCCTGGTCAGCAGCACGGGGAGCCGCGCGACACTCAGCGCGTCGTCGTCGCAGGAGTCCCTGCCGTCCGACCGCGGCGGCGGGGCGATCACCTATCACCAGTACTACCACGTGTTCAGGGAGGGCGAGCTGGACCAATTGATCAACAAGTACGTGGAGAACCTGCACATCATCTCGTCCTACTACGACCACGCGAGCTGGTGCATCGTCGCCGAGAAGGTGCAGGTCTGGACTATATGACTCGAGGCCCGTGCTCGAGTCGCGCACACTCTCCGCGGCAGGCGGGTCACTTACCGGGGATGTTAAGCAGCTTGCGGAGCCTCACGGCTGTTTCACTTTCCTGTGGCAACGGGTTTCTTTGCGTTTCGAATGTGCGTTGAGAGTATTCGCTTGGAGGTGTGCTAAGACTTATGGAGATGAATCAGGTTAGGGTGTACGCTGGCAGTTCAGTTCCTTTTAACCCTTTGCACTTGGAAGTGTTTAATGTTTTTTGAAATTAGTTTGAAGGGAAATCATGTTGAACAGAGATATATTCGAATATTTCATTGTATAAGGTTCAGTGTTGAATATTAGATTTGGTTTTGAATCATGTGACACCTGGTGCGAAGGGTTAAGTTTCTTGTATCATTATTGACAGTTTGGTTTCTTGGAGCAGTGTTTCCCAACGTGCGGCCATAGGGTATTTGATTTTTGGAGGCAATTTGAAGTATCACTTCGTTTCACAATATTTATAACATATATTTATAGTACTTTTTATAATATTGTATTAAATTAATTTATCATATAATAATTTATTATGTTATATAATATTAAAAATTCTATATGTTACATAGGGTGCATAAGAATCTAAAGGCTTAGATAAGGCACAAAGGATGTTGGGAAACACTGACATTTCGTGGAAGTTCCGAGATGTTCATCGACATTCCACATGGAACGATGCGTGCATAGTTGAGTTCTCAGATGTCAACTTCAGAGTAGATCGGCCATCTTTCTGTCTCCAGAGTACTACACGAACCGAGTAGCAAAGTTTCCTCTCGCGAGATGTCCAAGCATTTCTAGCGTAAACTCTTCTATCCGCGACGTGCATGCGTCGGTGAATTCTGCTGAGTTGCAAACACAAACACACAAACACAAACACACACACACATATACACACAAACAAACTATCTAATGTATATCATTCGCTATGTACTAAAATGGAAAAAACCGAAAAAAGAGATGGCGCGCGGAATCGCGAGCCGGGAAGGGAGCACCCGGTATAGCGATCGCGGTTAGGTTTAACGGGTCAAAGGGGGCGGTGTGTAAATATGTAAAATAGAAACCGTTTCCGACGTAAGCGCACAGATCGGTAAACGAAGGTATTCAAACAGTAAGCGACACTAGTAGAATAGCGATTTGTATCATTCGTCTAAGCGCTTGACCAAAAATGATGTTTCTCGTTTCTTTTTTTCTATTTATCGTTTCTCTGTCATCCGTACCCTCGGAGTCTCGAGATTCATATTCTAGTCTCGAACCGTGATATCACGTGTATAGCTTTAGTTTAAGCAGTTAGGTCCATGGTTCCTAATCTTTTTCATCGCAGAACAGCTGTCGATCGGTCACCCTATTCTGTTAACACATTGCGTACCGGCAGCAGGGTTAACCCCTTAAGACACAGTTTTTTTTAAAAAAACCGGCCAAAGAATCAATTTTGATATACTGCGCTTTTGTTCCATGGAAAAGGCTATATTTTATTCTTGAATAAATAAGTGTTATAGCTTACAATCCCATGTAAATGATAGATATCGATAAAACGATTTTTCTTTGCTTTCACATTGTTATTTTCACAGTTTGGCCTGTTTAGCTCGAATTAACTCGAGCGTGCACGTTAAGGGGTTAATAAATGTTTCTGTCTTTAAATGCTGTGGTAATTAGCAGAGTTATGTAACTAAGAATCTTCATAAAAACGAGATTTCTAGTTATCAGTACGCAATGTGTTAAGATACCCGTGAAATATACAGGGTGGACCATCGTGTATGGTGTAAGTCATTCATGGAATTAATGATATCAAGATGATATTCGTATGGTACAGACTCGATAAATTTATCTTGATCTCACTAATGGATTAATTAATACGTTGAATGCCATGGGTCACCAGTGACCCCAACCAAATTACTATAGTTCATTGAATTAAGCAATGATTATTTGAAAACATCTCTATATTATAAACAATGCTACCAATCCACGATGGGACACCCTGTACATCGAGTGACTGAGAACGATTCGAGTCGTTTTGCTGATTTCCTCGGCGCGTTCGAAGCTGATTTGTCGCGTGACGATGGGAACACGTCTACGGTATTAAGGGGCGTGGCTAAACGTTCGGGGGTACACGCATCAAAGAGATTAGGAATCGTTCGGATAGATTCGTTATCGCTGATCGACCACCTAGCTCTCTTTTCTTCTGTTCGCGCGGCGAGAAAGAAGACGATGCATCGTACCATAGAACGTTATGTGAAACTGCCTCGTTTTCTCGCGGGGGGCGTGGCCGCCTCTCGGCGTTTAAGGACACGCACGGCAACGAAACGGGAACTTTCTTTTTCATTGTGTAATAGAGATAACAATTGACTATCGTTCGGCAGCCCTAGACCACTTCCAACTGTTGTAAACGATGCTTCGTTAGCGTTCGTTCGGCCGGAGCTCTGTACGCGAGAACCGAAGGCTTGCCATCCGAATGTCAAACAGAAGCGAGACTACGATATAGCGAACGTTATTGCGCTATTACTATAGACGAGCTCGGAAGGACACGGACGTTGCTCGAAATAATCAGAGGATCTATCAATATTCGAATATGGAACTACGCAAAAATTCGAGTCGAATGTGTAGAGTAACGTTTTTTCATGTAAAGCGTCTAAAAGTTTACATTGGGCGGAGACAAGAAAGGGGCGGAGATAGTTCTGTGCATTGAAACCTTGATAAAAATTAATATACCGTCAGATGCATAATGTAATGAGAGAATATGGAACTACATAACAAATTGAATCGAAAGTGTAGAATAATGTTTTTTCGTGTAAAGCATCGTTTATAAGAAAGCGTCTAAAAGTTCACACTGGGCGGAGACAAGCACGTGGGCGGAGCGAAGCGGTAGAGTAGTGGGGGTAGCGTCTTAGTGACCTTGAACGACCAATTTAACTTCTTATCGCCAGCTCCGTGGCTCACGCGGGGATACTCTGATTGTTTCGAGTGAAAGTGTACGGTCGGTGCGAAATTCGTGCCGGGAATTGTAAAACAGAAACTGTCCGTTACGTTGTAAATTCGAGGTGCAACTCGGAGGACACGAATCAGTCTCGGAGGTTAGCAACGAGGTAGGGGAACCACAGTTCACGGACTGTCGGCCAGATGGCGACGTGCGTCGGAGTCGTCGAGGCTCTGGAATTCAATGAAAATTCGAAACGTAATAACACAAAGGACCAAAATAGAACGCGTCTCCGATTTCATTGGCGTTATCGACGAAATGTGTACACCACGCGAGAGAAAGGATCGACGGGAACACGGCGGGGATTACCGGATTTCTTCGGAATTGTCGTAATATCGCAATAACTTCAAAAGCACTCGACGAGTGTGCGCCGCGCACATCGGGACGAGGTTAGCCCTTCGTTCGAAACCGTTATCGCTTGAGGAATCGAGAGGGATTCCTCCGGTTGAGGTAATCTGTAATTGGATAGGACATCTAGCTGACAATTTCTGCGATTTTCGTTGAGCAACTGGATATTTGGCTCGCGAGTGTTGCACGGTGAAGGTTAAGAGGGCGAGATGAAGGGTTGGAGGACTGTGAATCTGTACGCATTAAACGATACCGACTGCGAGAGATCTAGTTAAATGATAAAAAGTATATATATTATATGATACGATATATATGAATAATATATGTAAATTGTATATGTATATTATGTGAAATAATGTATATCAATGGTATATATATTATATAATTATTATATATATTATTGTATACACATTAATATATAATATAATATACAATATACGTATATATATATTATTTATATATGAAACAGTAGATCGCGAAGTTGTTGAATTAAAATATCAAACAATTTACAAATGCGTTTCGTAGATGATAGTGACAAACGGTCGCGCACGTACGAAGAGGATTAATAAGTCTCCAAAGTAAACTTTAATGGATCCAGTGATATTATACTTCATATGTTATGAACGAGCGTACTTTGCTACACTTTTTTTGTAAATATCTTACCGAGAATACAACAAAGGAAAAAAAAAGAAAGAAAGACAACTATATATACATATACGTGTATACATACAAATATCGGCAATCTGTCACAATTTCGTAAATGCTCGACTTCGATCGATCGATCGATCAATTAAATTCGATGCTTGATTAAAATTAGGCGAATTGCGTTCGGTCTGGTTCGATTTGTATCGAGTTCAATCTCGTTCCGTCAGATTCGTATCGTCTTAACACGTTCGCGGACAATAAAAATTTTAATAAACAAAAATAGTTAAACTGCATAATAAAAAATTAACGCTAGAATTAAATTCGTGACAATGTTCCTTAGAAATGTTAATTATTCTTTTTAAATTTTAATAAAAATAAATGCTACAGCATTCACGTCCGCGAACGTGTTAATCGATGAATTGAGGTTATGTTGCGTCAGCTGAGTGTAATTTAACGAAAAGAAACGAATAAAGTGGACTGGACGCAATTCGAGGGAAATATCAGTTACTTTCTGTTCGGAATCTACATTTCTGACGCTTGGATGATGAGTGTCGTTCTCGGAGACGTAGTTGACGGAATTGACGGTGGCGTCACCACAGAACACGAACGGAAGTCGATTACCAGCTGGCTGATCTCGGCGCGATACGTAATTAAAATTTATAATTACCGCTCATCCGTGCGTTTACAAATGTCCACGATCCTGATTTCTTCGAACAGTATTTTTGCGATGATTTCTGTTCCTCTTGGTCGATAGTTACCTCACTCACAATGTTTCCATAACACTAGAACTACCGAGTTAACCCTTTGCACTCGAAAATTTTTCTTTAGAAATATTCAACATTTTCTAACTAGACAAAGACGATATTTTTTCAAATTAACCCTCTATAGGCTCGTGTGACTTTGAAGTCCCACATCAATATACCGGGTTAAATGGATTTATTTAATTTTTTATTGCAAAATGAACGACATTATAGATACATAAATTTTATAGTTTTTATAGTGTAAAAGTTTAATTCGACTGATATGTAATCCCCATAAAAATTCTAATAGATTATTTTCTTCAGACATTCATTATTCAAGTCAAAGCTATTTATTTTCAAGATCATTTCGATATTCAATGCTTTCAAGATATCGATAATTGTGAAACAATCGAAACCAGTAGTTTCGACTGGTAGTTCTAGTGTTGATGGTTACATAAGATTCACGTAAACAGAAGGGAACGGTTTTCAAAACGAGCGAACGGCCGCGAAGATCGTCAGGAAATTCGATTGTACTAATTATCATAGATCAGGTATGTGCGAATTCTAATTTCAATCTGGATTACGTCCCGAAGAATCTCGTAGCGAGTTTTTCTATGACTTAAGCCCTCGGTTCATCGTTCTAAGATAATGTCAACATAGTCTTCCTCGATGTTATGTTAACCCTCTATGGGCCGAATGTTTGTTCGTGATCATAACGAAATCTGTGCGGTACAAAAGTCATAAATTAATTAACCCTTTGCACTCGAAAGTTTCAATAATTTCATCGAAGGAATATATTTTGTAACTTTCGTTACAAAATGAAATTAGACTTTCGTTACAAATTATAATATTGTATTGAATTATATTTATATATTATATTATTTATTATTATTTATTACACATGAAATTATTGACTAACTTATGTCACAGTGACGTTCAACTTTCACTGAGCGTGTAAAAGTTGTTAATTGGATTACTTAATTTTATTCATTTTCATTTTTCAATGCGAAGTGACACAAATCAACAGATGCCAATTTACTGATACGTCTTGAAAGTTACATGGGCCGACAGAGGGTTAACTCAAGGCGTGAAGTTTTTAAGTTAGCGTCGAATTGCCCGGTTTGACACGATCAACGTTCGCGCATGCCTACTGTAGATATCTACCGACGTAAGATTCCCCTATCCATACTTAACCCCACAGGAAATTAAGAAATCAACCGAGAAAGAAACACGAAGGGAAACTTGTTGGATCTTAACCCCTTGACCTACGTCGTGTCAGACTCGTGACGAAAATTTGCAACCGATTTCCAGAAACCCGATTATTTATTTGTTTCGAAGTATAAATTAACACTAAAACTACCAAACAGGTCAGAATGATTCCTGATTTTTTTCCTTCTGCAATTATTAAAAAGGTGACAGATGTTTCTCAGAAATTGTTAAACAAATTATTCAACAATATGCAAACTCTCAATGACTACTCGGTAGTTTTAGTGTTAAATACCTTTCTATTATCAACTATCCTTCCTAGAGTAAACGTTAGAATAAGCAACAAAATTTGTTCAAATAAATTCTTAAGGAATACACCTGACCCTCGATTTACGCGGACGAGAATCGCGTAAACAGAGCCCGTCGGTACGAGAAAAAATATTGAAATGGCATAAGTTTTAATAAATATTTATTTCACATAGCTTAACAAAAGAAATAACGACATTTTAGAAAACAAAAGTTTTATTCGCTGTTACTAAACTCAGATCGCAAAAACTACCGCGCAAATTGTGTTCCAGTTCACCGCGTAAAAAGGGGGCTCGCGTGAAAGGAGTCCGTGTAAATGGAGGGTCAGGTGTAATTGCGTCGGTCATAGTTGAGAATAAATAGGGCAAGGGGTTAACGCTGCGATGGCTGTGTAATTCGAAATCTACATGTGTATATATGTGTGCTGTATGTATATACACATGTACACGAGCGCATGCGTACAAAAGCATACGAATGCACAGATGGAACCGTGTATAAGGTCTAATAATCCCCACACTTATATAGCGAGTATTTAAGAGGAAAAACAAATTGTCCTTCGCGCATATTTATTCCCTTTCCATCCGAAGTGTGTGATTGTGGTAATGACGAGGTTCAGTGTACTACTTTCTATTGTATCGTAGTCATGTAATAGAAAACGTCATGACAGGAACACGTCAGACTCGTTCTGAAAATTTCTCAAGAAACCGGATACGATAGATTTCTTTAAGAAAATTGAAAAATTCAATTTCAAATTCAGTGTTTCGTTAATTAATTTCTCATGTTTACAAATGTATGTAGATTACAATAACCAGTACCTTGGGGAATACTTTTGAGGTTAGGACGACGAAGAGCAAAGTTTTCAGAGCGACTCTGTTGGATTGTTGTAAGAATGATATTTGTGGATGAGTTATCATAGAAACGGTGCTATTAAAGAACGATCAGCGATTTTGGGTGCCACTGAAGAACCACAGTTGTAAACGTACTCGAAGCAGATTTAACTCCTTCGTTACAGTCAGTTTTCGTTCGGCTGCACAATATCAGGGTAAACAAATTCGTTAACGCGAACGAGACGAACGAACGGATGAAATTTACGAGGATGTGTGTGATCGGTTTGTAAACGATACTTCAATTTTACGCATGACTCAACGTATATATAGCTTTCGCGAGAATTTAGAATCTTCCCTCCCCTTCCCCCCACCCCCCTGGCAGAAGTTATCGACCGTTAATCAAGAGAGAAAAGAAAAAAACACTTTCAGCTCGTAAGGTTCGTTGAAACAATAAGAATCGCAGACACATCCCCCGGTAATTACGAGATTGCAGATAGTTTATTTTACGTAGTGT